GCCACCTGAGCTACAGCCACCCCATGCAGCATCTTCTTGCTTTTTGCAGTCAGCCTCTATTGGAAAAGGATGACTGTTTTGGGTTGGGAAAGAGTTGTTGCCTCTAATGGAAAATTCAAGTATCTTGGGATCTTCATGAGTAAGGGAAGTAGATTGGAGATTGACTGATGCAATGTGTGCAATAATGTGGATGCAGTATCTGTCTGCTGTGGCAAAGACAAAGCTGAGCGTAAATGATTTTTTACCGGTCGATCTATGTGCCGATTCCTCCCCTCACCTATGTCTACAAGCTTTGGGAGTGACCTCGGATGCATCTGACTAGGATGCATCCTTAACCTCCTGGCGTCCACATATGTGGATATCACATTTTGGGTTGTCTAGACCAAAACACTAAATGTTGCTCTACAAGGGCCTGATATCCACTTACGAGGACATTATACTTCCACTGTTCTATCGAAATTTAAAACGAATGTCCTCATATGTGGATCTCATTTTTCTCAGAAAGAAAAATCAGACAATTCTTTGTTTTTAAATTCATCAGGTCCCAATCAGCCCGAATAGAATAGAATAGAATAGAATAGAGAAATTAAAAACGCATGCCATGAAAGAGTTCAGGTCTTAGGAGGTTAATTTCTCCTAAGTGAGATGTTTCGAGCACGCCCAACTCTGAGAGGTCAAATGCACTGCAACTTAAGAAAACACCAGGAAATAGAAAAAAGCTGCAAAAGCACACAAAAGAGAATAACAGTGTAATAAGGAAGCAGAGGGTTCATTAGTGTTGTGTAGGTGCAGATAATGTGCGTTTTATTTGAGTCTGTGCATCCCAAACATGCAGATATTAAGAAGCAAATAACACAAAACTGCAAGTAGGATTTTTTTTTCTCCATTTTGATTGAAATTAAAAGGAGACTATTTGAAAAAAAGCAGCTTATAGCTTTAAGCAGGTAAGCAGTCTGGCTTGGTCAGACAGCGTTTCCTTGGAGGGCCGCTTGCAGGCCTTGACCTTCTGCTGTGTTCAGGCATGTCCCTGTGGAGAATATGTGGGGAGCTTGGGGGAAGTTTGTTCTTGGTCAGGAAGGGTTGGCGAGGAGAGCTATCTTCTTCTTACCTTCTATTTTCTCTCTGAATGGCTAGACTCATCATCAGACCAAACAAACGAAACAAATGTTATTACACTGGAAATATGTGCGCTATTTTCCAGCAAAATTCATAAATATCTGTTCCTTTGAATTATTTGAAAGGCTTGTAGGTCTCACACTAAGGTGGAAGCTGGTAAAGCTTCTCTTGCAAATACAAAACAGAATTCAGAAATAGCAGGTTTGTGTGTATTACACAGTGGCTATGTTACACCCCAGTGGACACATGAACTGCTGAAGGCACTGACATCAACCTAATATTTCCCAACGCGCTCACAGTGTCTGTATGTCATGCAAAATTAGATTTCCCCCCTCTGTAATAAGCCATAAAAAAACTGAATAATTTTATAATACATACATGTCTTGTTGTAGGTAAATTTCTTCTCATCCTTGCTAGAAGAGCTTAGAGGCAGATGACTGTGTGACATTCTTGTCACCGTAATCCAAATGTAAATGTTGAACTCAATCAGTTTTGCTTTTTTCCATTTTTTCTTTATCCCTTACTTGGATAACGCTGATCCAGCAAGCAAATATTACATCTGAATGTTGAAACAAGTTGAATCAATCCTACAAAGAGCATCACTCTTAGTAAAAAAGGCCAGAGCTATATAGATATAGATATAGATATATATATCCTTCTATAGAGGTTGCAAAAGTTCAGACTTTCTTTAGTTAAGTAGCTAAGTAGTAAGGTAAGTGTGTTAAAAATACTCAAGCAACTTCTTTACTCAAGTAAAAGTGGGAAGTACAGGCTCTGAAATGGCCCCAAAGTAAGAAAGTAAAAAGTCGTCCTTGAAGGACAAAAATTAACTGAATGTTCCTCTATAAAACTGTAAAAAATATTAGTACATGAGAAATACTATTCCAACCCAAATTAAAAAATAGAGTACAGTAAAATGAGTAGAGTCAAAGTACTAATACTGTACTGTCTTATGAGATGACTGCATCAGGTCTTTTTGCTTAAATAAAAGAAACCATCACCATCTGTACAACACGCCACCCTAACTGACCCCCCAAGCAGCTGATCAAGATGCCCGATTGGCTCGTGTGATGAGAAGACAATCAGATCACATGAGCTGGGGTAATTAGAAATGAGTCTCAGCATGGAGCTGAGAACTCCGCTGATACGATCAGACAGTACATGGGGGTTACTTGAGTGAGTGAAAAAGAGGATGACAGGGAAGCAGGGAAAAGATGAAAAGATGCTGGTGATTGTAAGTGACTGATTAAGGTCAGAGGTGGGCTGTATGCCTGGGACTTGTGACAGTGAGCAGCAGAGGTGCTGCAACACCTTGTTCACAAGGGAAACAGCTCTCCTTTGATACACCAATATAGCAGCGGCCCGTTTTCTGTACGCGTCTCCACGATCAACTGGCTGATCCAAAATCTGCTGATCCTATTTTCCAAAAGCACACATAAAGACTTGAAAAGAACAACTCAATCCAACTCCTGAGAAGACCGCAGACTCCCACGGTCATATATGAATACTCAAACTTATAATACTCAACTCCATGATGGGAGGAAAGATGACAGGGGGACAGTGAGACGGATGATTTGCACAAAATTGAAATCACAGAGCAGAAAAAAGGGCGGTTGGCAAACAGTGGTTGAGAAATAAAACCTTTGAAGTAATAGTGCGCTTACGGAAATGAATGTTGTTTACAGAATTCCCTTTTCTGCTACAGCAAAGCCAGCAGTTAAACCAAGAACAAAAATAAACTCAATCTAAGGTAAGATAGGTAAGAGAGCCTTTGCATAGGCCTCAGAGTAAAGGAAAATACAGAAAAAGACTGTTGAGTATGAGGATCAGTCACAGACATGAAGTTTCAACCAAAAGCAATTAAATGTGACAAAGATGTTTTCTTTTGAAGTGCAACAACTTTGTAATTATCACTTTTGCACTTTTTCATTTATTCCTTAACATTTCAATCAGATACCAGCACATCATGTACCAGGGAACAGATTAACCAAAGAACTGTCTATCCATCAAAAAACACATATAATCAAGAGAAAAAGAAAGTACGAGTTTCAATTCTGTGAGGAAATAATAGAACAATCTGGTCCTTACCAGCTATTGAATTGGTTCTACTAGCTGTTGAATCAGGAAGACTTTTCACACACTGGTTTTGCATTTAGTATTTGTAAGATAAATGATGACACACTTCACAAGGCTATATTAAATTCTCTATACCTGGTACAAATAAGCACAAATGGTTAGGTTAATTTGATATGATGACAATCAATGAGGTTTTCATGTTAGGTTTTTCAGTTTAAAGTCAGCTTGTAGGAAGAGCAGGTGACAGGATCTAACAGAGGCAAGAGAATCCAGGTGTGAAACTCCAAAAGAAACGCAGGGACATGATAAAAAACGCGTTTCAGAGAACAGAGAAGATCAGAATGCTTTAAATGTTGTAACAATGCAACTTAGAAGTAAATCAAGTGTGATAAAAAAAAGCACAATCAACAAGACACCTTTATGTTTTCTTAAAGCAAAGCGTAAGCATTGCCTCAGATTGAGAGGCAATTAACACCTGAAATAAAGAGCAAGCCAACATATCGATGATTTGCAAACATATAACAAGTACTAAAGTTATCAGTCTATTAACACTATCTGAAAGGGAAAGGAGAAACTCTTAACTCTAAAGTGTTTAATAAAAAAAAGACTATCGCCTATCATGATTTATAAGATTTTGCACAACCACCTCTGTGTTCACTACTGTCTCAGTACTGCAGTCATCTTTAACCCATGATGTAACTTTAATAGTCAATGTGAAAAAGGTGAAAAAGAGCTCTATTTACATTTTAAATCTTCAAGTTGCATAAATGTTCGGTAAATGCAGACCATTTGCAAAAACCTCCAGGATAATATTTTTTTCAAATGCAGTCGCCAGTGTCTTCTTGTGCCCCAGTATTGCTCTAAACCAGCCTGGCTTACCTATTTATTAGGGGTGCAACAATACTCCTATTGATATTGAACCGTTCAATACAGTGCTTTCGGTTTGGTACGCATATGTATCAAACAATACAATTTTTTTATTTATTTTATCAACTTTTCTTCTGACGATGCTGTCTGTGTTGAGCGCTCAGTGGATCTGTGTTCGACTACTCCGCCTAGGCAGCACTGTCGAATGCAGATCCACTGAGCGCAGCGCAAGCTAGCAAGACGCAAGAAGCTAAGCTCGTTGCAACATGGCAACTGCCTCAACGCTACCCGAAAGTGAACCTCCCCCACCCTCATTCAGATCTGGCGTTTGGAACTATCTTGGTTTTCATGTGAAGCATGACCCTGAAGGTAAGCGCGTCACAAAAGTAAAACAGTATGTCGGATGTGCCACGCAATGCTCAATTGGTGGGAACTAGTGCGTTAGCGCAGTTAGCTCGTTAACGTGTTGACGCCGTCCAGCCCCACGCACGGGGCAATCCGGGGTAACTCGTTAATGGAGATTTGCAGCGTTATGGCGTTAATGTCATTTCAACGAGATTAACGCTGACAGCACTAGGGGAACACAACGAATATGACTGCACATTTACTCTGACATCATCCTAGTGCAAAGACAAGTGGAAGCAGACAAAAACAACAAGCACGCATGCTACAAACTTTACCCGAGTCATTTAGACAGCCGTTAGCACATGATTCTCCTTATGGGGACCGATATGTTTAATGCTGCTGAGAATATAGCCCAGAAGAAGCGTATAGTATAGCTTTTATTTTGGAAAGAGCCATTTCTCTGTAATAAACTCTTTTCCAAAGAGGAGTGATTTCTCGATCAGATAAATTTTTTATTTTTTTTATTTTGTTGTTTCAGCAACATTACATTTAAAAACTGTACTTTTGAGTTAAAATATATATTTATAATTTTAATAAATGACAAATTAAAAAGGCATGAACAATTTTTTGTATCGAAAAAATATCGAACCGAACCGATCGAACCGTGAATTTTGTGTATCGTTGCACCCCTACTACTTATATGTCAAGCCACCCGCTCTTGATCATAAGTTTGACCTGTATGAAAAAACAAGCTCTAATATGTTCTCAGAGGAACACGTAGAAGCCTACACTTAGATGGGACAGCTGAAACAGAAGAGGTAGCAGCGTATACAATGATAACTAAAACAGCACATGGGTAAAGAAAAAATCGAGTCAGGACATGAGCCGTGTGTGGAAAACTTGTTAAGTTGATGCTGGAGGATGACAGGACATCAGGAAGAGAGGGCTTGTAAGACGCAAGCAGTGTGACTCTAAGGTATGCAGAGTGACTGAGGAGGCTTGGTCTTAATCTCTTGCACCCCACAAAGATGTGTGTAATGTAAAGTATGACACAGTCAGGATATTCAGAATCACCTGAAGGTACGTGCGCTGTCAGTCTCTGTGCTTTGATAGAGACGGCGTGCAGCATTTTCGAGCTGCTTTACATAAAAAAAACACAGTCTCGAGAACTTTTCATCACCTTTCTATTTTGTGATTCTATTTTAAAGGCTGTACAGGATTTGAAACTAAAGAGCTGACAGCAAAGCGCGGTGAGCTGTACATCCTCATTCTGTCTCTGCCTTCTTCAGTCCGATCCCTTGCCGCCTCGCACTTCATATCTGACATTTCTCACTCTTTGCAACCTCTTCCTCTTTTTCCAATTTACATCTTGCTGCTCTCTGCCTCCTCACCTCTTTTCTCAGTCATCTTTATCAACTGTTTCAGTTGCAGAAAACTCTCCTCTCCTCTTCTTCCCCCCGTGTTGTTCTCACCTGTTCCCTTCTTGCAGACGTAGGGCAGATTGTAGTTGCAGGGCACGTCATTCCATTTGCCATTCTCATGAGCAATCATCACCACGCAGTCTTCTCCTCCAGCAAAGAAGTTGTCTGGCTGGTTTTCACGCCAGTTCTCATATTGCTGCACACATACACAAGCAGACAAGGTTAAAGAAACAAACCTGAGCAAATGTGCTACTTTTTTTTTTTTTTAACTACAGACAGTGGAGAAAACATTTTGTTGGGAATCACGACTGCTGCTACAATGAGCACATCAAAATTTACTCTGCAACTCCAGGAGCTTTAAGTACGCTGGGATCAGCAGCTGACTACAAAACAAAACAAAAACAGCTGGATCCTCACCAGGTCCATCTTGTCAGTCCACTGAAAATCATCTTCTACTGTCCGATCATTTAGCCCAATCCAGGTGTTGTCATGGCTTAGACCTGAGTAAGAAATTGCAAGCAAAAACATTATTACAGAAAACAGTAGAGCACTACATACAGTATCCACACCTACAAATAAACAATAAAAACATATATGGGGCAATTCAATGTATTTCTTGACATCTATAGATAACTATTACAACATACTACAAAGAAATTGTTAGGAATGACTTGTTGTTCTATAGTTTACTGTATGAGTACATGATACGCACTCATTTCTCCCAAAAAATCCTTTAAAAACATTTGTCATGAGGCTGTGACACATCACAAACCCTGATTCAGGTGGGAAACTGATCACTTTGTTGTGTGGAGCAACAAAACACCTAATCACCAGTGCTGAAAACCCAGCACCTAAAGAAGAGAGACTATTGCCAACTACTCGTCATATGACTTTATCTGCACTGGCCTCATTGTGAGGACATTACCTGCTGGAGAAAGTTTGTACCAAATAAGCTGGATCTTATATAGAGGCAGACTGTTCATTGGATAATGTGAAAGTGTCTGCTGAGGTGATGAAGGGAAGCCATATGCTTTTTGTTTTTGAAAGAGTGTTGCAACACAAAACAAGCACACAACCCAAAAAAACGTGCTAGGTTTGGTCCAGATGGTGCAAACGGGGAGCCAAAAGTGCCTTGGTACGACAATACAAGTGGATAGCACTATATTGTGCTGATATAAATACAGGTGTTCCTTGAAAATCTGGCTCTCCCTCTGCTGTCCCATGGGCATAAAGAGTTTTAAAACCACTGGTCAGAGGTATCACGCTAAAAGAGATGAAAACTACAGCTATATAAAGTTTTTGCAATATTGAGCTGTGGATTTTCGGGTTTCTACCATAATTATTAAGGACAGTGGAGCAACTGCTGTCATGAGTTGACGCTATATAAATAAAACTGAACTGTACTGAATGGATTGTGTTTATTGCATTAGAAATATGCACAGAGGCCAGCAGGTGGATGAGGGAAAGGGGAGGCAGGAGGAGGAGAGACCCGAGGCGGCCGCCGGTCCGAGTGTCAGGTGAACTTCAGGTAAGAAGGTATGACCTGCAGTCTATCTGGGTCAGATATAAACCAAGTTTAGGTGGAGTTTATTTTCGATGTGCTAAATTGTTATAGTCAGTCACAATTACTCGTACTGCGTACTAGTTAGCATGACGGAGTTTCTATACAGCTGGGTGGGTGCTATGATGTTAATTATAGTGAACTTTATTTTAGTCATAAGGTTAGTTAGTAGAGTTGACAACCGTCCCGTAAAAAAAACCCTTCTTTGTAATTGGAAGGTTGCCGGTTCGAGCCCCGGCTTGGACAGTCTCGGTCGTTGTGTCCTTGGGCAAATTGCTACTTCAATCATGAAGCTGATCAAGGATCAGCTGATCAGCTTTTCTGACGCAAGTCCCGTCTCGCTTGTTTGTTTATCACTCACTTTGCACCAGAAAGAAGAAACCAGCGGAGGTCGCGTTAAACAACAGCAGCACGTTTAAGCTTGATCAGCTGTTGTTAGAATTTATATAATATTAATTTCTAGAATCAGCTGATGTTTGCTGGAGCCACAGCTGTACTGCTGGTCATGATGTCGGTTTGGATACGTGGTGAGAGGGAAACAGAAGAGTAAACCAGGAGCTGTCCTTACTGAATCATCAGAGCTGAGCAGGTGATGGAGAAACAGGTTTACCTTTTAGGTGACATGAATGAGTTGAAGGGAAGTTATGAACTGTTTCTGAGAGACAAAAAACACCAGGATCCTTTTCTACGTAGCTGACAGCTGGTAACTGTGCAGGGGCGGGTCTAGCAAAGTTTTGCCAGGGGGCCAGGTAGGGTATTAACAGGGAAAGGGGGGCACAAAGAAATACTTCTCTTTCTTATTCTCATTTAAAATGTCTAGTTTTTTAATAAATAATTATCTGAATCTTACAACCAAAGTTTGTATCTGATGTAAAATCTATAGAAATCATACATATACCAACAAGGCAGTGTACATCACTGTCACAACAGCGTTTGTTTTCATTCAAAGGCTTTATGGCTTTTCTTATAATACCTGGTGGGCCGGTCTCTAGTCAAAATGCCCGGGCCAGTTTTTCTGGAGTAAAACAGTGGAGGGCTTTGTAGTATAACTCAGGGTACTCTTATTCTTCTTAGTGCAGGTTTCACACATGAGCTTGACTCAAGCTTGACAGTCCTGGAGCTGGCTGACCTCAGATGAATGATGACCATTAATAGAGATATATTAATTCTGTCTACGGTGTACGTGTGATGAGATTTTTGTTTGTGTGAAAGGATATTTCCCTAATGGTGTTTTGGGTTAATCTCATTTGTGTGTGTGTGGGTGTCTCTGTGCGCAGTAGGCCAGCCATGTGCATGTGCTTGCACATACTGTATGTAATGGAATTTCAATCATGGTGAATCTGATTAACATCATTACCAGGCCCATTAATCTTCCTAATGGCTGTGATCCTCTTATTGCAGGGGTGGAGACGTCCATTTTCGAGGCAATTAAACGCACTTTTTGGTAATGGTGAGCAAATAGGAGGATCAGTTCTAGGTGAGTGGTACTGTCTTTTCTTGGCATCTGCTCGGGACAGACGGCTGATCCAGAATAGCTTGCTGCTGCTGATCAGGTCTTATTACAACACAAGTGGCTGTGGAGCTTGCCAGAGGGCAAAAACTTAAGAATAAAGAGATGAAGCTTCATGGGGCACCAAAGAAAAACTGAATGGATATTAGCATGGTAATGCTGACTGGCACTAATTAAACTGCTCTATGTGGCCAAATATTTAAGTCCACAATGAACATGAGTGGAAGAGCCAAGGAGCTGTATTTAGCTCTTCAACTGTTTGGCTTCATTTAAAATAGGATTTGCAAACAATTCAGGACAACAGGAAAGGACACCAAACACCATAATTACATACTAAAACAACCACAGCAACACATCTTGGGTTCTCTGTTCATATTACAAATATAGAGCATGATCATTAACTTCTCAGCTGACCACCTGCACACGTGGGTCTGTCATGTGCACTGGATAATGGGATGGATTTACCTGTTACTACCACACACCAAATCTGGCCGTTGGTACTTCGTGGCTTGTGTAGCCACTAGGTAAGTAAGTAAGTAAGTAAGTAAAACTTTATTTATATAGCACCTTTCAAGATAAAAATCACAAAGTGCTTCACAGAAGCTAAAACCTAAAAATAAAAATCAACCAAAAGCAAGTTTAAAAAGATGAGTTTTTAGCTGTTTTTTAAAAGCGACCACTGAGTCCACAGATCTCAG